TGCCCCCTCCTGCCCGCCCCTCTTCCTCCCCTCACCCTGCCCCTGGCCGGGGCTGCCCCTCCCTGGCTGACTTCCCACCAGCTCAGCTCCCGCCAGCCTGCGGACAGGGCAGCGGGAGATGGTGGGCTCATGTGGGCACCCGCTGGGTGACCTTGGACATGTTCCTTTCTTTGCCTTTTGTGCTCTGATTCTACATCTGTACCCACGCGGCAGGGCCGATCCCCCGCCATGGGAACCAGAGCGAGCGCTGGCCAAGCTTCCTTTTTCGGTGAGCCCAGTCTGACGCCCCTTCAGAGCGTGTTTATTTTTTCCACATCAAAAATAGATTTTTTTTAGTTCATAAATAATATGTGCACATAAATAATATATGCTTATTAAGAACTTGAGATTATAAAAGTATGAACAAGCAGAGTCCCCAGAAATTTTACCACCTCTAGAGAACCACCATCGACATTTTGACCTCCATCTCTTCATATTTACATATTTTATTTTATAGTAACAGGACCAAATATTAGGTAATTTTTATCAAGAACACCTTTCCTCCCACATCACTGACCCTGCATCCCATCCCTGCCCCCACCCCAGTCTAGGTAGCTCCTATGACATCCTAGTGCTGGCCTTCCACCTTAGAACTCTTCTCCGTTCTTACATCAAATATAATCCTGTGCAGACCTGTAAGTGTAGGTCCATATCCAGGGTACACAGGGAGCGGGAGGGGAGCTGGTCGAGGCTTCCAGTAAGTGGAATCTTCTATGCTACAATTTTGCATTTTGTTTCTCTCCCTCTACAATGCCTTGTGGGAATTCCTCCAATGTCTTATAGCGCCATGGGGATGGTAGGAGGGTGGCTGTGATAACTAAATGAGATGTATTTGCAAAGAACTCAGCAAAATGCCAGACACACTACAGAACCCCCCCAAAAAAGATTTGCCCCCTCATCCATCTTCTCCTTAGGTGCTAGGGTAGGAAGGGGGACAGAAACTACATTAGACTCTGCCCCAGCCCTAACCAGGAGGAGAAAAGAGAAACTCCGTGACCTCACTTACAGGTGGGATGTGATTGGCCAAATGGGGGATGGGGGTGTCTCAGTCACATGGCTCTGCAGGCTGAACACCTACTGTGTGTCCAGCCCTGTGCCAGGCCTGGGTGGGTGAGATAGAGGTTACAAGATCTCTGTCCTTTGTCAGGTAGAGAACTGAGACCAGTCTATGATAGCCCTAGGTGATTTGGCACTTTCCATTTCTTGGGGAGCCATTGATGTGCAACAGGGGGTGAGTCCCTGGGCATTGGTTATGAGCAGAGCTAGGGACCCAGGGCAAGAGACCAGAGCCAGGATTTTGTGTGGGACTTCGGGCCTGTCATTCAGGTTCCCAGGCCTCAGTTTCCCCTCTTGTAAGAGAGGAGCTTGGCACTGGTGATCCAGGCCCTAAGGTGCAGTGAGTCTATGACTGAGCATGTGCTTCTTCCAGCAGGGCCCCTGCACTTGGGCTCCCAGGTCTGGCACAGGGGACCCAGAAGTGAAACAGACACCTCTGACTTTTGTCCTTCTGTCCCTTGGTGTTTCAGCTCCTCAGCCCTGGACCAGGGAGACCCTTGCAAGGACAAGACCAGGGAGCACTGTTGCCTACAAGATCTCCACCTTTCTGCTGCCAATTTCAGAAGTTTTCAACCCTTTTGGGAGAAAGTGTTTTTTGTTATCTCAACCCTCCGACTTCATCAATCATTAATTTTTCTTTTTCTAATTCCTTGGGCCAACTTTGGTCATGCTCCATACCCTACTTTTAGCCCTTTGACAAGGTTTGGTGTCTGACAAGCACCCTCTGGGTGTTTCTGGTTGAGTGGAGAGAGGAGGCAGCCGGAGGCTGTGGTCTCGGCAAGTGGACTGTCTCTAGCCTTGGCAGCCAGGCCTGGGTGGTGAGGTCACCATGTCCACCAAAGCGCCCATCTATCTGAAGCGTGGCAGCCGCAAGGGCAAGAAGGAGAAGCTTCGGGACCTACTGTCCTCGGACATGATCAGCCCACCGCTGGGGGACTTCCGCCATACCATTCATATCGGCAGTGGTGGTGGCAGTGACATGTTCGGTGACATCTCCTTCCTGCAGGGCAAGTTCCACCTCCTTCCAGGGACGGCGGTCGAAGGACCCGAGGAGGATGGCACCTTTAACCTCCCCTTCCAGTTTGCCCGAACCACCACACTAAGTGGGCGGGAGCTCCCGGATGGGCTGTCCCCTCTGCTCAAGAATGCCATCTCCCTCCCAGTCATCGGTGGGCCCCAGGCCCTCACCCTGCCCACAACCCAGGCCCCACCCAAGCCCCCTCGCCTGCACCTGGAGACCCCTCAGCCCTCCCCACAGCCTTCCCCACAGGAGGCAGGGAGTGTGGACATCTGGAGAATTCCAGACACTGGCTCAGCCCAAAATGGGCTGACCCCTGAGTCAGGGGCTGAGGAGCCCTTCCTGTCCCACGCCAGCTCCCTGCTCTCCCTGCACGTGGACCTGGGGCCTTCCATCCTGGACGACGTGCTCCAGATCATGGACCAGGACCTGGGCCACACGCAGATCCCCACATAGGACCCCAGGGGAGCCAGGCTGGAAGTCCAGGCTGGGATGAATGCTGAGGAGCAGGGGGTAGACATGGCTTTGGCCTAGAAGTCGGGATCCCAAGTCCTGCTTGTGCGGTTACTGGCCAGAGATTTCCCACTTTGAGCCTTTGTTCTCCCTCCCACCCTCTCCCCATGGACAGAGTGTACCTCATTGCTTCCCCCTGAAACCCACGAGGACACGTGCGGAACTCAGCCCAAAGGGCCCCGAGCATGTTGGGCCCCCTGGGCTCCCACTGCCAACTGCTCCTCCTTCCCTCAGACCCCTTGGGTGAAGGCTCTGCTAAAATGGACTCCCCTTCACCTTCCTTCTGCCTCATCCCCCTCAGATGCCCTGATTGTGGGGCAGGAAAGAGTCAGGGCACCACCAGCCAGACCTTCAGTGTCATGTTCTGGACTGGGAGCATGGCATCAATGACTGAATCTCCCTCTACCCCATCCCCTTCCACATGGCCAGGGGTTCTGGTCGCAATAAAACTTGCTGCTGCTCATAGTTGTGCTCCCTCTACTCTTATCCCTGAAGACAGGCCAGTCTCTGCAACCTGGGCTGACCCTGGGGAGACCCTAGCTCCTGGCTTTGTGCAGGGTGGGCCCTGTCCTTTGGAAGATTTTACCTGATTCTGAGGGCCTGGAGCTGGGAGGGATCCAACACTGCTAATCAGCAGACTCATCTCATCAGCGCTGTTTAATGAGCACCTACAGTGTACTTGGCCTGCTCAAGGTGCTGGGGACATAAGACAGACATGATCCCTGCTTTCCTGAAGCTTACGTTCTAGGAGGAGAAAGATATTAAATTTGTAAGCAAGTATGATGATTTCCAATAGCGTTGAACACTGAACAAACAATGTGATTGGAAAAGCCTGGGGCAAGGGTACAAGGTGGTATTGGCACATTAGGGTGATCACGTGATTCTGAGCCAAACCTACGGCACTTATTAATAAGTACTTGTTCCCTGCATATATTTTTATGCTTGTCTTTACCCTCTTTAAACACAGTAAGCAGTGTTATTTTATGGCCATTATCAGATAATTCCAGTAGTATCTTAAATCTTTGTGGGTCAATTTGTTTTCTGTTGTTTGTAACAAGGGTTTCTTGTTTCTTTGTGTGCCTGATTATCTTTGACTATGGACTGAATATCATTCTGAAAAAATGTTTTTAGAAATAATTTGAAGCCTTGCATGACAGTACATTCCTTCAGAAAGGATATTGCTTGGTACCAAATATGCTTGCTTCTGCCAGGTGACTAGGGGCATTATAAGGATGGGTCCAACTTCAATTCAAGTTTAATTCAAGTTCAAGGCTTGAACTTCCCTGGACCACCCAGGTAATATGATTCTGGGCTACATGTCCATAGAAGCAGGGGTCCCACCTTAAAGTGTGTGTGTTGGTGGTGGGGTATCTGACTTCCTACCTTCGGCAGGCTCTGGGTTTTTATTTTTGGCCCTCTCCACCAAAGACTGCCAAACAACAGCTCAGTTTCACAGTTATATCTTCTAGATCAGTAAATGTCTCTAGAACAAAAATTGCTTTGAATTCTGGCCTTACGTCTCTGGATTTGAGTCTCCTAAATGTTGACTCAGTGAGTCTTCACTATATTATTAGCTTTTCAATGCTTTAAAATTTTTTTTTACTTTCTCTGATTTTTCATTTGTCTTCAGTGGGAGCATTGGAATTAAATACCTAACCAGGAGTCTGTCCCCTGGGTTTCATTTATATTTCTATCTCTCCCCACTGGGTAACAGCAATCCTATTACCCCTTATCAATTAGTATCCATCATCCCAGCCAATAGTGGTACCCCCTTTTTACTTGCCCAGTAGATGTAGAATGCAGAATGACCCACTGGCAGTCTCAGCTTGAGAAATCATATTGTGCCCCCTGGTGGAAGCATAACTCCCTTTGGTCCTTAAAGGCTCTAGATCAGCCAGAGCCAGAACCCAGAGTTGCAGGCAGAGGAAACATTTTGCAAGAGTCATTAGTTGAGATGGTAGCAAGTGGCTACACTACCTACTTCCACTTCTTGGTTCCCATCTGTAAGAGAAAACTATAAACTGGTCACTGGTTCTGAGCATTTAGAATATCTACTGTTCAGTGAGGTAGCATTTCTTAAAAGAATCCTAAAAGAACTGAAAGCCATTGATGCTGGGCTCAAAAAATGCCTTTCCAATTATACAGAAGTAGCCTACTTATTAATACTAATAGATTTCATTTTTAAAATTTTATTGAATTATACATATAGGGAAGTTCACAAATCTTGTGTTCAATTAACTTTTAAAAAGTGAACAAATCTATGTAACCACTACCAAAGTGAAGAAAAGAGACATTACTAGCATCTCAGTAGCTACCTCATGCCCCTTCTTGTCACTATCCTGTGAAGGTAACCACTCTCCTGACTTATAGCCCCACAGTGTGTCTGTTTATGTGACCTTATAGAAATGGAGTCATACAAGATGTGCTCTTTTAAAACTGGTTTCTTCTATTCACAATTAAGTTTTTGACATTGATTAATGTTATGTAGCAACAGTTTGTTCTTTTCATTGCTGTTCAATCCATTCTGCTGCTGTGGGCATTTGAGATGTTTCCAGTTTGGGGCTATTACAGTTAATGCTCTTGTGAACATTCTTGTACATGTTTTCTGGTGTACAGGTCCATGATTGGAAATGGTGGATCATAGACTATGAATGTTTAGTTTTAGTGTTAGCAATCTGTGTTAATCAGCTCGGACTACTGTAACAAAATACCATGGACTGGGTGGCTTCAACAACAGATATTTATTTCTCACAGTTCTGGAGGCTGGGAAGTCCAAGATCAAGGTGCCAGCTGATTCCATTCCTGGTGAGAGCCCTCTTCCTGCCTTGCAGACATCTGCCTTCTTGCTGTGTCCTCATATGGCCTTTCCTCATGGAGAGAGATATCTCTGTCTTCTTAAAAGGCCACTAATCCCTATCATGAGGGTCCCACCCTCATGACCTCATCTCAACCTAATTACCTCCCAGAGGCCCCACCTCCAAACACCATCACATTGGGGGTTAGGGCTTCAACATGAATT